ACGACCCCGACGATGGCTGCAACGACGACACGCCGACGACGACCGCGGCGGCGGCGCCCCACGTCGCCGCGCCCGCGCCCGGCAGCGCGCCGCGCGGTGGCAGGGCGGAGGCGGCCGCCACCACCTGGCCCGGCGCCAGTGGCTGCTCGCCCGCTGCGTTCTCCCGCTGCGCTCTCTCGCCGAGCCTCCCCTGCACACGGCCTCAACGAAAGCAAGGTAGCATGACAACCTCCAAGCAACTGCAGCTGAAGTCGAGATCGATCTGTTTGCCAAGCAGAGCGCTGGCCCACCCCTCTCCCGAGAGTGTCGGAGGGTCGCGCCGCATCGTCGACACATCGACGACACATCGCCGATGCATCGGTGACGTCGGCGGTGCATCGGCCCCGCCCGCGTGGAGCAGATCTGGCCCCACATCAAGCCGCACGGTTGACGCATCGACGACGCGGCGCAATCCTCCGACCACAACTGCTTGGACCCAGTCTGGGAGGCCTAGATGGTCGCTGCTCGCCTGCTGCGCTCGCCCGCCGAGCCTCCTCTGCGCACGGCCTCCGCCTGCCTCCCGCAGCCTGTTTCTCAAGCCTGGCACACAGTCAGACCTGGGACAGGAAAACATCCTGCAAAGACATGAGACCCTCCGCCGGCCTAAACTGAAGAACATTCGAGGGTGCCCTCCGACAGGATGCGCAGGAACATCCAACAAGCACGAATAACATTAGGGTACCCTCCCCGAGCTGACCTCGATCTGATACCTGGGTCCGACAGTAAACCGAGATCTCCAACGCATTGAAAAGATCAGGGCGGAGGTCTTTCGTCGTGGTCGGCGCCTGCGGGCCCTCGAGGAGCCTCGGGGCCGTCAAAAACCGATCCAGGACAAAAAGAAAGGACCCCCGGGAAGCGGTCCAGAGCTCCAGGGACTTGTATTTGGGGGGACAGCACAGGGTACCAATACCGCTACGCCCTGGACCTCTCCCGGGGTGCGTTCTGACCTGGACTTCAAAGCGAATCCAGCGGCGGCGACGAGGGCCTCCCAGGAGGCCCAAAAGGGGGAAAGCGCGGGAAGCGTAGCAATAACCGAGCACGGGCGATAATAGTACCCCGGGGATAATGAAGTTCGGCGTTCTGGCGGGGATAATAAAACATGTTCCCGGGGATGAGGATAATGATGATGAGGATGATGATAATGATGATGATGATGATGATGCTGCTGATGATGATGATGATGATGATGATGATGACGATTACGATGATGATGATGCTGATGATGATGATGATGATGATGATGATGATGATGAGAATGATGATGGTGATCCTGGGCGGTCGGCACAAGGCTGACTCGAGAGATCTCGAGGCTCGTGGCTATACAACTTGCCAGCACAAGGCTGACTCGAGAGATCTCGAGGCTCGTGACTATACAACTTGCCAGCACAAGGCTTGCCTAGCTCACGTAGCTGGTTTTCCTGGCCCCTCCTGGCGCCGAGAGGCGCCCATGCATCGAGGAATGGGCCCGGCGGCGGGGCCGAAACCAGCTGCATGATGCAGCAGGTTTCGTAGCCCCCCCACCCTCCCCACCTCCCCCTTTCGCTCGGCCCGATCCCGGGGAGCGCCCCGGAATCCAGGACCCCTGCCTGCAAGGCTCCCCTTCCCTCGTGCCGACCTGCGGCCGCCTGGCCTCGTCGTCTCCGGCGTGCCGCTTCTCCGGCACTGCTCGCCCGAGTCTGCA